TGCTGCGTTAAAAAAGAAGTACCTTTTATGTTTTCGGTGTCGCTGCATTCAAATCCAATGCCAATATAATAATATTGACAGCTGTCAACTGTCAATATCGAGTTGTTAACATCAGTTTTGAACTCAGCTGCCTCAAAAACATATATTTACATGTGGATTTTATTAATTTTGATTGTCACATGCTGTTTGACGGTTAGTTGATAGCTGCTCACTGTCAATATCGTATTTTTGACATCAATTTTGAACTCAGCAACTTTGAAGATATATATTTATATATGGATTTTATTAATTTTGATTGTTACATGTTGCTTAACAGTTAGTTGACAGCTGTTAACTGTCAATATCGTCTTTTTGACATCAGTTTTGAACTCAGCAACCTCGAAGACATCTATTTACTCCTGAATTTTGTCAATTTTAATTGTCACATACTGTTTGACAGTTAGTTGACATCTGTCAACTGTCAATATCAAACTGTTAACATCAGTTTTGAACTTACCAACCTTAAAAACAGATATTTACATGTGGATTTTATTAATTTGAATTACTGCTTGTTGTTTGACAGCTAGTTGACAGCTGTCGACTGTCAATATTATTATATTGGCATTGGATTTGAATGCAGCGACCCCGAAAACATAAAAGGTACTTCTTTTTTAACGCAGCAAATACTAAACTTTCGAGGAGATTGCCGTGGAGCTTTGGAGCTCCGTAGGAGTCAAAATAAACAAAATTGAGCTTTGTGCCTATTGAAACTTTTGCTGAGGATGCCGAAACGAACAACATATCCAAATTTCAGCCAATTTGACCAGGAGCTAATTTCCATAAGAATTGTGCGGGGTTCTTTGCGCTTGATTATAACAAATATTATGATATTATTTTAAATTCCTCTAGATTTGGTATATTTTAAAATACACAGTTGCCAAGTTCACTTTATTTACCAACTCCTGCTACTTTTTTATAAATACTTTATTTTCATTGGATATTAGAAAAGTAGCAATAAAATAATATTTGCAGCTTCAAACTTAAAACACCAAATACAACAACGGATAAAAAACTACAAAACTATTTTATCAATTAGCTAGTAGCAAATATTTTCGTTATGAATAAGTTTTATTTTAAAAATCCCCAGATCTGGGGAAATTTATAATCACGTGATCGAAATGTCCATATTCTGATTGATGAAATAGCTAAATTTAACGTTAAAAATCCCCAGATCTGGGAAAATTATATTTACGTAACCAAAATTTGAATACAATTGTTAAATTATCATTGGGTATTTGAAAATTAGCAATAAAATAATATTTGCCATGTCAAATTTGGAACACCAGAAACAGCAACGGATAAAAAAACACAAAAAACCTACAAAACTGTTTTATCTTTTGTTGTAGCTTTTAACTATGATTCAATATATTTGTAGTTGTTTTTTCTTTTAATATAAATATATACACTACAATTAATGTTATAAATGACTAATACAGGGGGCAGCGATAACCTTTTGAAAAGTATCGTTTATTATAACATAACCCTGTCCTTCATGTATACCCTAATAATTTATACTTAACACGTAAGAATAACCTTAAATATTGACTTTAGTTTCATATAATAAATTGATTATTTATATTATCAAGCAGCATTTGAATTTTGCTTCGTAACAATTATGACAAGTGACAGATTTTGTTGACGTCTTGTCAAATTACGATTTTAACAATCAGAAGTGTCTAAATTGTCAAAATAAATCAATTTTATAAGATTTTGACAATCAGAAGTGTATTAGTTTAGCAAATGTTTGTACTAAGACGTTGACTAACTGTCAAAATGAATTACTCGGGTCAGTATTTCATTTTTGATGTTATTTTCCAGTAGCATAATCGTTTAGAGTTACTGTAAACCTTTTTATACAAAAAGACAGTTAACATTGTGTCATAGAAACAAAAGAATTTAAAGCTTTCAGAAATATAAATCAGAAAGAACGTTTTGAAAGATAATGTTCATGACAAATGATATTAGAATACTTTTACAAGATTTTTGACAATGTCTTAATTGTCAAAGTTTTGTACTAAAACGTTGACTAACTGTCATTCTACTCGATATTTCATGACATTATAACACTTTCACAAGGCCGTTCACCTATTCAAATGCTACTTAACAACGTCGCACTTAAATAGAAGAGTTGAGCGATCTTAAATTATTTAATGAGATGTCATACTTGCTCTTCTAACCTCACTTAATACTATGATGAGGCAGTTACCGTTAACAAAAATAATTATTAGCGATTACTGAGAATTGAACCATCATTTTGCTGATCTTACTAATCTAAAAAAAAAACCTGAAAAACTATTAAAGTATTCCTACTGATTAAGGTTTTTATCTTTATATAATATTAGAAAATAAATACTATGGGTGTACACAGACTGCGACTAAAGTGTGGAAAATAATTTAAATTCAAATATATGTGCGTACAATTTTGTATCCACGTATTTCGGGAGAAGCAGAGTCTGGATTTAACGATTGCGATGTTGCCGAATCCGAAAATGGAAACAGCATAATCAGGTCAAGCTTGTCCGAAAACACGCAAATACCAAATTTCGTAAAATTTTGCACCAACGCATTTCGAGAGGCGCCAGGTCTGAATTTCACTATTGCGACGTTGTCAAATCTAGTTTTTCATATGATTTCAGGAAATTCTGATAATTATAAAAGGAGTATCGCCAATGTCAATGATTTGCATCGAGAATCATTTGTACAAAATAAGATAACCCGTATGAATATAAGAGAGTGGGGAATGAGGAATGGAGAGTAGGAAAACCAAAAAGGAAATGGGAAGACCAAAATGGAAGTGGGAAGACCAAAAAAGGAGTGGAAAAACCAAAAAGGCTGTGGTAAGACTAAAAAGGGGATAGGAAAACAAAATTGGAATAGATGGAAATAAATTATAGGCAGCACGCCTAGAGAGAAAAACAAGCAAATATTACAAAATAAAGTAGAAACACAAAATTTAGGATATCTGAATGGAAAAATGGAAACTTAACAATATCGGGTTAGGATGTTTCTAAAACTCGCAATTTATATCCAAATTTTGTTCCAACGCATTTCAAGAGACGCCGGATCTGAATTTAACGGTTGCGATGTTGCCGGATCTACCGTTTTTCATATAATTTCAGGAAATTCTGAGGATTATAAAAGGAGCGTCGTCAATGATGTTATTCGAAAAGCATTAATACCTCTCTTTTTGCTCTATTTCATCTGTTTAGTTTTTTAGGGAAAAGCGTTCGAAACAAATGTTTGCCAAATTGTCCTGGAACATTTAAGGTACGGGAAAATTTCTATGTCAGATTGTGAGAAACGTCGAGTAGTATCCCTGAATTTTAAATTTTTCCCCAAAATTCGTTATAAAAGTTGGAAAATTGAGAAAAACATTCGAAATTTCCCGAAATAGGCTAAATTTAAATGTTTCAGACATGATTCGACAGAGAAAATTTTAAGGTTTCATAACAACGGACAATACGTATTAAGGTTCTTTTTATGGAAACAAATAAGGTAAATACATATTATCAGAAAAAACCGGAAGTTTGACAACATCGCAAATAGAAAAATTCAAGTCAGGTTGATCTAAAAACGCGTAGTTCTCTTCCAAACTTTCGCCACACTCCGTATATCTATATGGTGCATTTTCTAGTTAATCATATGGGCCTTGTACATGATTATACAAATTTTTGAGTGTTTTAATCCCACTCCAATAAATACGGAATTATTTCTTCCTTCTTAATATATTCATATTATATAAGCTAAATATGTGGCAGTTTTTTTTTATTATGCATCTAAAAAACTGTATACCGAGTTATTTCCTTGAAGTTTCTTTAAGAAAGTTAGATGTAACCAAACGCGCAAACGCAGAAAAGTGACAAGCGACAGTTGACATTATAGTAAAACATGTCACTGTCGTTTGTCACTATTTGACAATTGACGTAGCGCGTTTGTAAAGCAAATATCTTTAGAACTTAATATCACCTACACCTGCTCCTACTGGATTAATGTTTATGGTAACCACAGATGTATTTGTACATGTTAATATAATATCTTTGATATAATACCATAATAACTATATTATTTCCTTTTCTGACGAGATTAAAAGATGTAAAATTTGCGCGAAAGTTTGCAGTAAAATATCGTTGAGCGCCAATTTTTGTATATTGTAAATTTACTTTTCTTTTATCAGGGTTTTATGTTTAAAAATGATATTTCATTTAGAATTGATTTTCGAATATGTATGAAAAAAAAATATAGAACATTGTTTTAATGGAGCGTTAATATAGATATTACGTGTGATGAATCCAATGTATTGGAAACAAATCTATCATATTTCTCAATTGTTGACTGTAAAACCCCAGGCAATTTCTATCGACGACATATGGTTCAATTTAACTAGACGGTTGACAGATCACTAGGATCAAATGAAGGAAACTTACGAAGGAAACAAATGAAGGAAACTTACGAAGGAAACAAATGAAGGAAACCTAAAGGAAACAGATAAAGGAACCAAATGAAGAAAACAAATTAAGATATAGCTCGATAGTAATAAATCAAAGAATATTGTATAAGGCTTTACGAGATAGATGAAAATTAGAGGAGTAAACAAAAATTAGAGCAGTAAACAAAAATAAGAGGAGTAAACAAAAATTAAAGTATTAAACAAAAATTAGAGGAGTAAATAAAAATTAGAAGAGTAAACAAAAATAAGAAGAGCGAACAGAAATTAGATGCGTAAACAATAATTAAGTTTAAGCCAAGAACAAGCAACAGGACGTAGTACGGCAAATCTCTTGGGAACCACCAGAAGAAACACATACAGTAATATTTATATTATCGCTCCACACCCATCAGATGTTCTAACCTTCCATAAAACCAGCACATCATCTATCCCAGTGCCGTCTCTCGTTACAATTTCATAACTAAGGATGATCTACCTAACCTAAGAATCTACTTTTTTGCTCCCTAAAAAACGACTATTTCATACGATTGAGGACGTAATCGGCAGCTACGATAAGACCTTTTTGATAGGGACTTTCGTCTATGAGGTTGGCCAACCTGACCGCTTCCTGGCAGTGCTGACGCGCCAAGAATTGCGTCTGTTGTAATCCCCTGGATTTGTGCACCAGTTCGAACGCCTTCTCTACGTCGCCGGGTTCTTGAAACCGTCGCATTATCATCGGGTTCAACTCCGGGTACTGGAATAAAAAATTTAGATTTTTAAATATATTTGTAATTTCTTAATAATTTCTTATTAATTTCTTATTAATTTCTTATTAATTTCTTATTAATTTCTTATTAATTTCTTATTAATTTCTTATTAATTTCTTATTAATTTCTTATTAATTTCTTATTAATTTCTTATTAATTTCTTATTAATTTCTTATTAATTTCTTATTAATTTCTTATTAATTTCTTATTAATTTCTTATTAATTTCTTATTAATTTCTTATTAATTTCTTATTAATTTCTTATTAATTTCTTATTAATTTCTTATTAATTTCTTATTAATTTCTTATTAATTTCTTATTAATTTCTTATTAATTTCTTATTAATTTCTTATTAATTTAATTTCTTATTAATTTCTTATTAATTTATTATTAATTTCTTATTAATTTCTTATTAATTTCTTATTAATTTCTTATTAATTTCTTATTAATTTCTTATTAATTTCTTATTAATTTCTTATTAATTTCTTATTAATTTCTTATTAATTTCTTATTAATTTCTTATTAATTTCTTATTAATTTCTTATTAATTTCTTATTAATTTCTTATTAATTTCTTATTAATTTCTTATTAATTTCTTATTAATTTCTTATTAATTTCTTATTAATTTCTTATTAATTTCTTATTAATTTCTTATTAATTTCTTATTAATTTCTTATTAATTTCTTATTAATTTCTTATTAATTTCTTATTAATTTCTTATTAATTTTTTATTAATTTCTTATTAATTTCTTATTAATTTCTTATTAATTTCTTATTAATTTTTTATTAATTTTTTATTAATTTCTTATTAAGTTCTTTTTAATTACTTTTTAATTTCTTTTTAATTTCTTTTTAATTTCTTTTTAATTTCTTTTTAATTTCTTTTTAATTTCTTTTTAATTTCTTTTTAATTTCTTTTTAATTTCTTTTTAATTTCTTTTTAATTTCTTTTTAATTTCTTTTTAATTTCTTTTTAATTTCTTTTTAATTTCTTTTTAATTTCTTTTTAATTTCTTTTTAATTTCTTTTTAATTTCTTTTTAATTTCTTTTTAATTTCTTTTTAATTTCTTTTTAATTTCTTTTTAATTTCTTTTTAATTTCTTTTTAATTTCATTTTAATTTCTTTTTAATTTCTTTTTAATTTCTTTTTAATTTCTTTTTAATTTCTTTTTAATTTCTTTTTAATTTCTTTTTAATTTCTTTTTAATTTCTTTTTAATTTCTTTTTAATTTCTTTTTAATTTCTTTTTAATTTCTTTTTAATTTCTTTTTAATTTCTTTTTAATTTCTTTTTAATTTCTTTTTAATTTCTTTTTAATTTCTTTTTAATTTCTTTTTAATTTCTTTTTAATTTCTTTTTAATTTCTTTTTAATTTCTTTTTAATTTCTTTTTAATTTCTTTTTAATTTCTTTTTAATTTCTTTTTAATTTCTTTTTAATTTCTTTTTAATTTCTTTTTAATTTCTTTTTAATTTCTTTTAATTTCTTTTTAATTTCTGTTTAATTTCTTTTTAATTTCTTTTTAATTTCTTTTTAATTTCTTTTTAATTTCTTTTTAATTTCTTTTTAATTTCTTTTTAATTTCTTTTTAATTTCTTTTTAATTTCTTTTTAATTTCTTTTTAATTTCTTTTTAATTTCTTTTTAATTTCTTTTTAATTTCTTTTTAATTTCTTTTTAATTTCTTTTTAATTTCTTTTTAATTTCTTTTTAATTTCTTTTTAATTTCTTTTTAATTTCTTTTTAATTTCTTTTTAATTTCTTTTTAATTTCTTATTAATTTCTTATTAATTTCTTATTAATTTCTTATTAATTTCTTATTAATTTCTTTTTAATTTCTTTTTTAATACCTGCATTGTTTATAAAAAAAATACTAAATTCATATATTGTTTTACCTTTTCGCAAGCAAAAAGTACGGGCGCTGTTGCCAAACCCAACTTCAAATCGGCCGCTGTCGGTTTACCCATGGCCTCCGCTGACGATACGAAATCCAGCAAATCGTCGACCAATTGGAAAGCGAGACCCAAATTTCTGCCATATTGGTACGATATCTCTGTTATTTTTTCATCGCCTTCAGCCAATATGGCCACCTAAAAGTATCAGTCAAAGATATATAACGGATCTTATATATTTCTATATGGCATTGATTGTATTCGATAAAGGAAATCAGCAATAATGCTCGGTTTTTACTCTTTCCGTGTTCTCCGACATCTACAAGTTCATAGCTGAACACTGCAACGAGATAACGGAAGCACTGTTGCCAATTTTCGCTGGTTACATTATGTCAGACAGGAAAAAAGAATGGGTTTTGTTAATTAAAAATTTTTAAATTGTTAAATGTATTTTTTAACTTTTAATTTGACTAGTTTAACAACCTAGCTTTATCTAATAACTAGCTTATATTTATAGCTTACATTTTACCATAACTTTTTCTACTTTCGATTGCCTGAAGTTGAAGTAAATATCTCGGTTAATGTAAAAACTTTAAAACCAATATAGATAACATTGTGAGATTAAAAGATTTTCTTTTATTATAAAAAAAAGGAAAAAAGGAGAAAATAAAAAATATAAATAAAAAAGGAGAAAATAAATATAAATTAAAACAATTATGAATTTTTTTAAGAAACAATTAAGATTCTGCTTTTTGGCGCAATAAACCAAGAAGATTTTTTTAAGATCTATGGCACATGAGAACAAATGCTTACCGATTTGACGGAGTTGGCTATCAAAGAAGCCGTTTTCCTGTAAGTTTTTTGTAGATAATGAGCAAATCGTTCGTTTTCTGTTTCTTTAGATCCTAACTGCATAAATTCACCTTGGACTAGATCTGACACAACCTAAAAAATCAAAATAGAAATATGTTCAACTGAAAAAGTCAATAATAAATGAAAACAAAAATGTTATAGGTATACATTGTGGACATCAACTTCATCATTATTGCAGGCTTCGCACTTTGATATAGAAGTAAAATAAATAATTTACAATTATTAACTTACTTGGCTTAAAACTGATGTAACTTCGTTATTTCTTAACCTAGCTATCATCATGGATGCTACTGCTAAAATAAAGTCACCTGCCATTGTGACCTAAAAAAAATACAATAATTATAACCGTGTCTGACACTAAGAGAAAGTTTTTTAAAATTTGACTACAAAACTGAATTTACAAATATCTTTTAAATGAAAACATCTGAAACTTCATACTCCTCATGAAGATAGCTGGGAAATACTTTATAAGAATTGGAATACTAACAAATCTCACCTCATATAATACAAAAAAGTCTATAGACAAAGATTTCCCGCAGACACAAGGCTTCAAAAAGCACTCTCAAGAGATCCACACCGCAGTATTGGTGTGGTAATCAAATAGGATAGCATAAAAACTGCAAACTACGAAGATAGCATCAAACTTCTGCTGTCAACATACTGCCCTGACTCTGTCATCACAATCGTGGCTGACTGGGTAGAGGAAGAATATAACCCGTCTGTCTACGATTGGCAAACTGGCCAAACACATTGCAGACTAAAACATAATTAGATGTGCTATATGTGGATTATCTTTAAATTTAAATCGCCTGGACCTGACGATATTTATCCAGCCCTACTTCAGTGGAGTTTAGAAGAACTCACACTGCACCTGGTAGATATATTCTAATCCTCGTTAACTCCGAAAAATATCCCCAAAAAAATGAAAAGAGGTAAAAGTGGTCTTTATACCCAACTTGGATCGATGGCTTCCATTGTCCCTAAGATAATACACTTACTAACCAACAGGAATGTTCCAGATGGTTAGTGGGTACATACATAACATACTCTTAAAACGATCAGTAAACATAAGTGTGGAAGATGTGAATATACGAAGCTTGGTTGCGAGCGGATATCTACAAGAAGGGATAGTATCACCTCCACTGTGAGACATGGTCCTCGATACCCTCATCAGCTGCCTCATGACTGTCTCTACACAACAATGTCACTGGAAGCACGGTCAACTATATAGATATCAGACAAGCACTACTCACCCTGGACAGACTATGAATTTATTCAGGGTCAATACTAGAAAGTCACGAAGCTTGCCCAAAGTATCCATCAACAATGTGGTCACCTTAAGTTGGATCAACGGCCACACCACATTGAAAGGTAACCATCTTGCTGATTCACTAGCCCAGAAGGCAGCCAACCAAATACTTTTTGGACCTGTCCCTTCCATTGGACTGACAACATTGGTAGTGGTAAACTTAATTGTGAAATTCAAAAAAAGATGGGATGAAACAAGAATCTGTACAGTTGCCAGGGTGCTTATAAGCTATCCCTACAACAAACAAATACCTAATTATGACTGAACAGAATCTGCGCCTGATCACAAGCATTCTGACTAGTTATTGCCAATTACGGAAACATCTCCATATCATACTTTATGGGGGATGCGAACAATAAGATGAGACCATCGATCATATCCTCTAGGATTTCCCGACGCTCTCATTTATTATATTAAATCTGTAGACTCCACACGTTACATATACAGATAATAACAACATTAATTTTGTATATGTGTTATTTAAAAGTGTAACTTTTTCATGTATTTTAGAGAATTTCTCTAAACTGGGAATAGCACCAATAACAAAAAAAACACCACATAAGTTCCCTGGTAAACGTTTTTTCGATGACACCCTGGTAGAATATTTTTTCTTTCTGTTTGTCTGATTAAATGAAAACATTTTTTAACGCTTCGTGGTCAACTCTAAATAGTTTTGACAAAAAATGGGATAGAAATACAGAAACGGAACAATGACGAAACATTTAATGAAAGATGTGGTACAATGTTCAAAATGTCAACACAGGGCACCAACGGGACGCTGAATTTTGTTCGAAAATTTTTGTTCGAAGTAATTTTATTCGAAAACATTTTCTTCGAATATCTAATTTGAAAAAATATCCTTCCTGGACAAATATAGTGCATTTCGAACATAACTTTGTAAAGCCGAAAGTGTTCGTTTATTTTTATTAATTAGTTATACACACTAAGGTACGTGTCTATTTCTTTAACTCTATAAGTCAAATTTGTAGGAAAATAGGGCTTTTGATATAATGTACTTAAAAAATTGCTTCGGTTGATTTATCAAATGTTTATTGAAATAAAACTAATTGAAAAAAAGATAAATATTATTTTTATTGACATTAAGTTTTTGTCGAAAGTTGGTTTAAAACAGTTTTAATAGTTCCAGGCCGCACAGGTTAGGTAAATTAGTTTTTTTTAATTTTTGTTATTTTATGTAAAACATTAGTGGCGGATTTTGCAGTGCAGTAGAGATGTAGAACTGCGAATGCAAATGGAAGTATTTCATCTACATTTCACAGAAAATATTTAAGGCATTCTAAAATATACGTAACATAGATTTTATGGATAATCTCATAATTTTAATTTAATTTTAATCATGAAATAGTAAATGGTGTGGGTGCACTGCACCGCTTGGGCCGCCCGTGCTCTTCGTCTCCATTAGTTATACTAGTAGTCTTGATAGGCATATTTTTGTCAAAAAAGATTAATTAACAAGTTTACGAACAGCGAAACTTTCTTGGCAACAGTATTGATCAAAAATTAAAAAAGGTGCATTGAACAATTCTACTTTAAAATTTTTTAAACATTTTTTTTTGCTCATAATACTGTTTACAAGAACGTTTTGTTATATTTTTTTTGACAGGCGCGAGCGACCTAAGCGGTGCAGTGCACACACATCATTTACTATATTTAATGTTTAAAATTAAATTACAATTATCCATAAAATCTATTTTACGTATATTTTAGAATGTCTTAAATCATTTCTGTGAAATGTAGACGAGATACTTGCATTCTTTTTTTTATTTTTCTTATTTTATGAAAAGAATGTTTGCGAAGTTACTCGTGATATCTCCAAGCGGTGCAGGTTAGGTAAATTGGTTAAATTTTGTTTTCTCATTTTATGTAAAAAAATTGAGAACCTACCCGCAATGGCTCCAGGCCGTGCAGGTTGGGTAATTTTTATTACTTTAATCAGAATACTAGGAAAATATTTTTATTTTCATTAATATATTATACATTTATATCAACCACTTGAGATCATGATATGTTTTAGATCATATGTTTTTTATAAAAATTTTTTCAATCAAAAGTCCGCAATGCATTTTTTTAGTAATTCCTTTTGTGTTGCTGGAATTACACATTGTATTAATTAATTTTTATTGTTGGAAATTTTTAAAAAGTAGTTGTTTAAAAGTTTGATTTATATCTCATACAAGAGCCTCGTGAAAAATAGAAATTATTTTGGTTTAGGCAGCGAATATAAGCAGCTTCAATTTTTTTCCGTGTTTTAACATTGGAAAGTTCGTTATGTAGGTGCATGGGATCGACAGCTCGAAGGCATAAAGCAGAAGTGCCTCTAGGGCAAACTGTGACATCGGATAACATCATTAATACAATGATTAAGAACCCCCAATCTTGGGCAGTTATAGACAACAAGACGCGAGGAATCATTTAGAGAAAGGAGAAAGAGAGAAGAAAAGAAAAGTTCAAGCACCAGAGTAAAAAAAAACTGCTAGCATTACGACTCATGTCGAAAATACGATACTAGGATACTAGTAGAGGAGTGGTGGAGTTTAAGTGGGTATGAGCACTTTTATTTCCAAATTTAATAACAGAAAACCAAATGCAAATACTTGTCAATGAATGGTAGTCTTTAAGAAATGTTGGGGAAATTCGGGCTTTTTCAGAAGATGCCACATCATTGTGGCAAGAAGTAAATAAATTGAAAATGGGTGACGGAACTGCAATGTTCCCTATTTTGAGTTCCTTCGCTTTCAAAATATTCCACATTCCTCGGATAATGTAGAAATAATATTTTCAGTTATCAATCTAATGAAAACTAAAAAAAGAAACAAATTAAATACCGAAAGCATAACAGGATTGCTACATGCTAAAACATGTATAGGTAACAGCAATTGTTACACTTTTCCCGTTGAAAAACAATTACTGTCATTTATGAACAAAAACAATTTATACAAAGGAGGATTTAATTGGATATTAATAATATTGTGTATTTTTTATTTTTTAAAGTGTTTGTGTTATTCTCTTTTTGTACATTCATCAAAAAAATTATTTTTCCCACTATATTTTGGGTAATATTCAAATTGTGTCTGTTTTCTATTTTAAATAACTTTTTTTTCAAATTTTCCTGCTTTTTCAAATTTTCCTTTTTTTAAATCTACCGATTTCTACCGATTTTTGAAGAAATAATCTATAGGTTTTAGAATTTTCAGGTTGGCAACACTGGTCTCACACTACTACGGAGATCATCACCGAGTGTCCATAAAGGATTTCTTCACCACTAAAAAGTGGAAGTGTTCCAGTTAAGTTGGTTAGGGTAATATTCAAATTGTGTCTGTTTTCTATTTTAAATAACTTTTTTTTCAAATTTTCCTGCTTTTTCAAATTTTCCTTCTTTTTTAAATCTACCGATTTCTACCGATTTTTGACGAAAGAATCTACAGATTTTAGAATTTTCAGATTGGCAACACTGGTCTCACACTACTACGGAGATCACCACCGAGTGTCCATAAAGGATTTCTTCACCACTAAAAAGTGTTCCAACCTTAAGTTGGTTAGGTTAGGTTAGGTTAGGTTACTGTACATTTGTCAGACTAATATTATGAAAATATTCAGTTTGTTTTATCTGTCCTTGCAAAAGCTGTTTTTTTATAAGAATTAATAATAAAATTGGATGTTTTGCGTTTTTAAAAATTATTGCGCTTTTGTTTCTCTCAAAAGTATAATTTTTTTCGCTATGATGATGATGATGATGATAGACAAAAAAAGCGGTTTGTATGTAAATTTTCGTCTTGTTGTTATTGTCTTTATTATCATTTGGTTTCTTATTTTAATATATCAATTTTATTAACATGTCTCTTTGTAACATTATTATCGATTGCGCGCCGTCTTCTGTCCAAGAGTTGTTGTAACGATTCTTGTTTGTGACGAAATCGGAATTTTTTGCAACCTTTGAAGGTCTCCTGTTTTAATACTATTATTAATCACCCAATTAATATTGAATGTAGGT